GCCCCTGTCTCCACCCCCCCCCCCCTTTTTTTTTTCCTCCAACTGACTGGATTATTGGACTGCTAAAACTGCTAAAGCTGCCTGGGTTGAAATAGGTGTAACAAACTTATGCAATAGACACAAGTCATTACATTTCCAAGAGATATGAAAACAAATAGTACAGTCGCTCCTACATCATCACTATGATAATATTTCACTTTTAAAGAAGAACTAGATTATTTTAAATCTAGGTTTCCTTCTACAGACATCAATGGAAATGTTACCAGCAGGAGCAAACCATGGTAAGAAAAGCATCATCTGTAGATGTATTTAACCTATTTAAGGTTAATTTAAGCTTACTTAACTCATGGATTTTGGAATATGAACTGATCAGTATAGATTCAGGATTGAAGCCACATCCCAGCTGAGTCAGCATGCACTGGCCACAGAGTTCCACCTGCCACTGAATTATCATATGGTAGCCACTCATGCAGACAGGGAATTAGACTTGCTGAACAAATGCACAGATCCAGTATGATAAATCCCCTTGACATACAGGTCTAGTTTCCAGTGCTGTTAAGTCATCTCGTTAATACCGCACTTACATGGCAATCGCAATACAGTTTGCTTTGTTTTAATACATGATCAAAAGTGTGGAAAATAGTAGAAGCCTTATCATAATCCTCATGTTTTTCTTTGCAGAAAAGAAGAAAACTGGATTGTTTGAACAAATCACCAAAACTCATGGAACAATCATTGGCATCACATCAGGGATAGTTCTAGTTCTTCTCATCATTTCAATTCTAGTACAAGTAAAGCAACCTCGCAAAAAGGTTATGGCTTGCAAGACTGCTTTCAATAAAACTGGTTTCCAGGAGGTGTTTGATCCTCCACATTATGAACTATTTTCACTAAGGGACAAAGAAATTTCTGCAGATTTGGCAGATTTATCAGAAGAACTTGAAAACTATCAGAAAATGAGACGCCCTTCAACAGCTTCCAGATGCATTCATGACCACCACTGTGGCTCCCAGGCCTCCAATATAAAACAAAGCAGGACAAACCTCAGCTCCATGGAACTTCCCTTTCACAATGATTTTGCGCAGCCTCAGCCAATGAAAACATTTAATAGCACATTCAAGAAAAGTAGTTACACTTTCAAACAAGCGCATGACTGCCCTGAGCAAGTCATAGAAGACAGGGTGATGGAGGAGATTCCATGTGAAATCTATGTTAGAGGAAGAGAAGATACAGCACAAGGTTCATTATCTATTGACTTTTAATTTCCTAGTGAAGGTGGTATCAGTGTATATACAAGATGCTTGTGTACAATGACAGTGTATATATTAAACAGTGTACTATATGCAGCGTGTGAGATGCACACACTTTTAGCTTATTATACTTCATTTAAAGAAAACAAAGTCTTCATAACTAATTCCT